CCCACACATCCCTTCCCGCTCGATAACATGCTCACATCTGACCCACAGATCCAGGTCCAACCCACGTGTCTGGGTCCAACCATGATCCAGGTCTCCAGGTCTGACCCACATGTCCATGTCTGACCCACGTATCTGGGTCCAAGTAGGACCCACAGATCTGGGTCCAACCCACGTGTCTGGGTCCAACCAGGATCCAGATCTCCAGGTCCTCCATGTCCGGGTCAGACCCACATGTCCACCCCCAACCCACATATCTGGGTCCAGGTAGGACCCACAGATCCAGGTCGACCCACGTGTCTGGGTCCGGGTAGGACCCACAGATCCAGGTCTGACCCACACGTCTGTGTCCAACCAGGATCCAGGTCTCCAGGTCTGACCCACATGTCCAGGTCCAGGTCGGACCCATGTGTCCACCCCCAACCCACATACCCAGGTCCGAGTAGGACCCACATCTGACCCACACATCCCTTCCCGCTCGATACCACCCTCCCCCCGGCGCAGGATCCTGCTGACGGTGGTGGTGATTTTCCGCATCCTGATCGTGGCCATCGTGGGCGAGACGGTGTACGAGGACGAGCAGACCATGTTCATGTGCAACACGCTACAACCCGGCTGCAACCAGGCGTGTTACGACAAGGCCTTCCCCATCTCCCACATCCGCTACTGGGTCTTCCAGATTATCCTCGTCTGCACCCCCAGCCTCTGCTTCATCACCTACTCCGTCCATCAGTCGGCCAAACAACGGGAACGCCGCTATTCCTTCCTCTACCCCCTCCTCGACCGCGACGCCCGCCCCCCGAAAAAACCCAAACCCATCACCGAGGCGACGCCTGGCCCGGACGACACCGACGCTAAGGAAGAAACCGATATTCCAGAATCCAAAGATCACCCGGCTTTGCTTCCCAAACCGTGGCGCAGCTCCAAAACCAAACGCCAAGAAGGTATTTCCCGTTTTTACGTCATCCAAGTGGTTTTCCGTAACGCGTTGGAAATCGGTTTTTTAGCCGGGCAGTATTTCCTCTACGGTTTCAACGTGCCGGCGATTTTCGAGTGCGACCGGTATCCGTGCGTCAAAGAGGTGGAATGTTACGTGTCGCGGCCGACGGAGAAGACGGTTTTCCTGGTGTTCATGTTTGCCGTCAGCGGGGTTTGCGTCCTCCTCAACTTGGCCGAACTCAACCATTTGGGTTGGCGGAAGGTCAAGGCGGCCGTCCGGGGGGCGCGGGCCCGGCGCAAATCCTTAGGGGAAGGGCGGAAAAAGGATTTCGCCCCCCCGTTGCCTCCTCTGGGAAGGACGCAATCCAGCGAGTCGGCTTACGTCTGAGATGTGACC